ATTATTATTATTATTATTATTATTATTATTATTATTATTATTATTATTATATTATTGTTATTATTATTATATTATTGCTATTATTGTGATTACTATTATTATTATTATTATTATTATTATTATTATTAAAAAATGTGTGTGCAATTCATAGTAATGTAGTGATGAAATGTCTGCGATACCAGATTATTCTTCCAGGCCTGTTTTGTATTCTGTCCGACTTCGCAGTCCTGTATGCCTCAGTGTCTGGAAAAGATAAATGTAACCTTCTGTTTTCTATTAGAAAGGTTTCTTTGGTAAGGAAACGCAGTAAGATATATACGTGTGTTAACTAGCTGCCTTTTGGGCATATTTCCTAAAGGGAGTTTGAGGCTAGTTCCTTATTTGTCCGTGCGGTGAGCACGATCTGCCTGGGTGTTTATGATGGAGCATTCAGTATTTTATTTGCAAGAAAGGAATATTAGTCAATGGATACACATAGTATTCTGGGAGATGCTACAGTAAATATATTGGACTCTTTTAAGTATCACAGAGGTGTTAAATTTAATAGGTTCTATGGAAAGCCATACACATTTGTAACTATATGAATCATGTAACACCAAAGATTGGGGTATTCCGTTAAAAACATTAAACATTTATTACAAAAACTACAAAAATCCAATAGGAATTATGTTTACGTAAATCACTGCAGCAGTCAACAGCTTAGTTCTTAGTAATAGTATGTACATCAGTGGCCCTTAATAAAAAGCAATTTCATTGCCAATTATAATTTTCTAGCAAAAATTGTTTTTTGCATTATTTTACAGATAATCTTATCAATTGAATTTTGTATCATTACTGATGCTTATGTACACATTTTGCAGATAATAAATTATACGAACTAAAATAATGCATGGGTTTTGTGTCACTGACAAACAGTCTACATTAACAACAAACTACACATCTTTGGGGTAATTACATGAAATTAACAAAATCAAGATCTGGTCTGATGCCGATAAAGAAATTCATCACCAACAGCAATACATGTAACCAGCTAGGAAATTATCTCTTTTCACACAACACAAGAATTCAAAACCAAGTATGATGACTAAAGATCCATTCCAATGTATT